GCATAGTCAGGATTTTTTTGAGGTGTGCGCCGACAGTTGTAGAACCTCTGCGCGGAGGGCGTGGTCACGCACACAGAGACAGATTTGACGGTTGCAGAGGCTATGCGTCAGAAGCGTAAATTGGCCTTAAGGCCTCCATACATGGGTTGTGTGCACTAACCAGTGCGCCAAAGCACGGTGCTGCTATATAATTATTAAAAGTAAAAAATAAATCGACAGATTAATCAATTAGCGAAATTATCGTTAGTTGCAGCCCTACTGGAAGAGTCATGCTGTGAATGTGCGTGTCTGTAGAGACAGGGAAGTAAGGACACCCTCCCCTATGGTTAGGAAATTTGGATCACGACATCTTTTTCAGATGCTCCTTGAACACCTTCCTTGGGAGGTGTTCAAGGCACGTCCCATTGGGAGGAGGCCCAGGGGACAACCCAGGACACGCTGGAGGGACTATGGCCTGGGTGAGCCTCAGGCTTCCCCTACCAGAGCTGGAGGTCTGAGACTGCTGCCCCCACCACCCAGATGAAGCGAGTGAACAAACAAGAATGGCCAAGACAAATCCAGAATTCAATCCAATAAAGAATTAATTGAAATACTTTAAAACTGAGGTTTACTGGTGGATGGACATTAGTACCCCATTTACACTACCCTTGAAAAACCGTGCCGAGACCGGTCCGAGCTCAGTAGCTGAGATAACTTATGGTGTGTAAATGGAAAGCAAACTGAACTGAACCGAGCTAGACACAACCGAACCGCGCAAACTGCAGACCAGTTCCAGAGGTGGGCTCGGCTCAGTTTTTCCCTGGCTTGGTTCCCTGATAACAAGAGCAGAACGCGTCCTCTCCGTCTGGCTGCACATCCCGATTCACACTCCATTCCAGTAGCTGGCGGTAATGCCCCTCCGGTAGTTGCTTGCCAACCAACACAAAACAGAAGAAGAAGAACAACTATAAACAATTATAAACATCCACGAAAGGTTGCCGTCTTCGCCTGACCCTCCGCAAACACCGAAGTACAGCAATAATAATCAAGCATAACTTTCTGAATGTTCAGAAAGTACGCCATTTTGACTTGCTTGATTCCCTCCTTCTTTGTCTTCTTCTTCTTGTGTTTTATGGCGGTTGGCAAACAACTTTTGGTGCATTACCGCCACCAACTGCTCGATTTCCTCCTTCAATACTGGCAGTAATACTGCAGATCGTCACTGGGAGGCGAGGAGTCGAGGAACCGAGATAGCGTGATGTGTAAACGGTCGTCAGAACCGAGCTCGGATCAGTTAACCAGGCCGAGCTCGGACCGGTCTCGGCATGGATCGGTTTTTCAAGGGTAGTGTAAATGGGGTATAAGGTTACCAGTAGTCCCAAATTGTGCAGAGCTGTGCTCCATTTTTTACTCATGTCCAACAAATTGAAACAATGTCTTACATTTGAAATGGTGATAATAATTTAAATAAAAAGCTCCCAAAAAGAGGCAAACATGGATGGTAGTGCTGGAGTGCATCTAGCGATCCTTCATTTCTTTTCCAACCGGAACCAGCGCAAAAAAGCAATCTTTTCAAGAAGACGCGGAATTAGAACGTTTGCTGAGCATTAGTGACGTATAGGTCGTTAGAATACGACCTGAGCGTCGCATTTGAATAAGATCAGACATGTATCAGATTTAGCATTAGGAAAAAATCGGATCCGTGTTGTTCAGACTGTCATGAAAAGATCAGATGGGATTTGGGTCACTTTAGGCTGCAGTGTGAACGTAGCCCAGGTCATTTCCAACCTGGGAACGATGCTCTTCCAACAGAACAGGTAAAGGATTTTAAAACAAAGCATGATAAAAAGTTTAAAGGACTCTGCGATGTGGACCAAAAGTAATATTTATATTTTCCTAAGTGCTTAGCTTTCCTTGAGGTATTTATAGAAAACCACCTGTGGATCAGTCCCCAAATGCAAACAAGTTTAGATAAACAGGAAAATAATGGCTGAAAGAAATAACCTCCCAGCATAAGCAAAATTATAACATCTTGACTAAAAAAAAATTCTCATTTGAAATCTCTTGTTAAACAAACAAAAAAAAGTGGATACTTGAAAAATGTTGATATATTGTCCAGTCCTTAAACACAGCCAGAACAAACCCGGCGAGGCAGTGAAAGCTGATTCTCAAAGAGCTTTTTCTGAAGTTTATTATTAAATTATATACAGAGGGAAGTGAGACATCAAGCATTGGTTGTTCTAGAAACCAACAGCTGAAAAGGCATCTCACCTGAAGACATCACCCCTGATGGGATGGTCGGAGGGATGATTGGAGGCATGGGTGGTGGGGAGGGGTAGCCTGCTCCTTGTGGCCCTGCAGGGTGAGGCTGTCCTGGGTACGGTGCTGAAGGATAAGCCGCTGGCTGGCCCGGATAGAGAGGGGTGTTTGGACCGCTCGGATAGGGAGGGTAAGCCTGGCCTGGTTGTGGACCACCATAGGATGGGAAGCCATATGCGGGTGGAGGTGGGTAGCCCCCGCCCTGGGGTGCGTACATCGGACCGCTGGAGTCCTCATAGCCCGGTGGGTAGTCTGATTTGGACATGGTGCCTGTAGAGGAGAAACAGCAGCATGATTAGATTTAATCCTCCTTGTGTTTTTGTTAAAATCCTCTTGTTGATGGGATCGTGTTTCTAATAATATTTGAACATCATTGATCTCATAATGGAGAAATTCACTTCTGCATCTCAACCCATCCCCCTGGGGAGCAGTGGACCTCCATTGTGCGGTTCCTGGGCAGCAATCCGGGGTTAAGGATCTTGCTCAGGGACTCAGAGTGCAGGCTGTGGGGATTGAACCGGCAACTTGCAACCTTCTAAGAGGACAAGCTAACCACTAGGCCAACACTCATTGCTGAACAATCCATTCATTATTTTCCCTACCAAAAAAAACCCAACCCTAGTAGTCCTGGCATGGGAACTAAAGGAGCTCCATCAGTCTTATAAAAGGAGAACTGCTGCAGATGTGTTTAGCATCGTACTTGGGTCTGCATCAGAGCACACAGCCTGATTTGAACTAGGTGAAATCCCCCCCCTCAGATGGCCTAGTTACAAATGTTCAAGGCTTTTGGCAGGAATAAGCACCCTTGAGCCAAACTGATGACATTCTGGACTTTCATGCAGCTCCACACACATTAGGGCTGCAAATATCCTCAGAGATGCAGTTTAGAGAAGCCCTGCTTCTTCAACAGGCCTCCATCACATTAGGATTGCACAACCCTGCAATGATCAGTGTGATTGTTATTGACCCTTATCCACAACATCCCATCATTCACCCACTGAGATCATCATTATTACAATTTGTGGTCAATAAAGTGACCAAACATTACTGAAGACAGCCTCTATCATATTGAACACATCCGCATGTTGTTCAGCTTTAATCTTCAGGACTTTTCTACATGTTGCCATCTTCCATTCTGACGCTCGTGTTCAACCGGCACCCGTCTTCTTCCTTTAAGTCAGGAAGACAGAGCAGAGTGTCTTAACTGGAAGGCCTGTTGCTCATCAGCCTTTCCCGGTGGAGGATTCCCCCTTCAGCTCCCGCTGCATCACTATGCGACTAATACTCTCCTCTGTGGTCCTGTTTATTTCCCTACTGACCAAATCAATCATCTAAATCCAAATATTTAAAATTGCATCAACCTTCTATCCTTTCTTCTGTGATAAAGAACAGAGTATATCCCAACCTTTTGAGTGTGAGTATGAATACAGAGCATGCAGTTATTTAACACTTGGGATATGCAGCAAAGGGCTAAAGACTGGTTGACATCCTTATTTATACATTTTAAGATTGTATCAGGTTAACAGGAAAACATGAGCAGGAATAGAAGGAGGCATCATGAGAAACAACCTCATAGACCTCCATGAAAAATATGAAAAAGTGCAAAAAAAAATCCCTGAAACATGGAGAAAAAACATCGCTTTAAAAACGTAAGCAAAGCTACCTTATTTACATGAAAGCATTGTTTGTTGCCCTTTATTTACATGTTGTTCTGTCTAAATGCAGCAGAGCTGTATTTTTAACAGGGCTTTTAGGGTAATAAACACACAGTGAAAGAATTCAAGAGACGGCTCCACCCCTCCATGCCATGACATCACACCCAGAGCTCCAGGCAACAGGGCAGAAAACACTGGCTGGAAAAGAGGAGTCACAGAACTGATCTTTATAGAAATCAGCCAGAGTAAAGGTTAAGTTTTCACTTTTAGATGCATCTGGGTGGAGCATTCAGGAGGCATTTAGCAGCTCGGTCTTTCAATCCATATCCACTTAACTTGAACGTGCGTTTTCATAAAAGCCAAGTCATCATGTGGTTGTGTCATGTGTAGTGACAATGACTCATTAACAGGAAAACTTGCAACACAGCAAACGCAGGAACATGTAATGTGACAGTAGGTAATGCAGCCAGGTTTGTCAAGAGTTTTCAAACAACAGTACATCTGGAAAGTATTTGCAGCGGTGAACATTTTCCACATCGTTCAGCCTTATTAAATGAATCTCTTTCCTCTAAATTACAAACACAAAACCCAATGAATGTAATGTGGAAAACTGATTGCAAGCAGAAATGTATAAAATTACATCAGGTAAGTGTTCAGTCTGTGTTTAATGCCCCCGTTATATCAATGGCACCTCCAGAAATCTTTTAATTGGTCTTCCATTTTATTTCTAAAAATATATTTTTCAGACTGATCAGGCTAAATGCCTTAATAGTGGAGGATTTTTGCGAACATGCGCACCCAATTCCCACTCCCGAGAGGTAACGCCTATTAAACGTACGCAAGAGCGTGCACAATCCCATCTCTCCTCGTGCACGCTCTGTTTGAAATTTGCTGTTTGCATCGTGCATACAAGCTTACTTTCCAAAAGAAAATTTGCAAGTTTTTTCCATTAGACTCACCACCGATAAGAGAAAATGAGGACGATCATGTAAGACAGCCGTTACGTAAAAATATCACCAGAATGATTGACAGTAAGGTGGACCATTTATTTTGAAGATCCACCAGGAAAAAGAACATCATACCTGATACTTTCAACATTTTAATAGACTCTGTAGCTTTACTCCATCAAAAAAAGCAGAATAAGTGCAAAAATACACATTATATAAACCCCAGTTACACTCAAAGCAATACATTAATCTAAACAATTATTTAGAATTTCATGCAAAATTTGATATTTAACCAAAGGAGTGCTACTTATAAATGACCAAGTAACTTCAAACTACCACCATAAAAATGACAACCAATATTATAATTGTTCTTTAAACTTTCCCTCTCTCCAACAGGTTTAAAACAAAAAGTCTGTATTTTGGCACAACTACAGGAAAATGCTGAAAAGATCAGACAAATAAGGTTAAACTACATCAAAGCAAATTTTACCCCATAAAGGAAAAAAAACAGAACAGAATATGTTTCTCATTGTTTCGCAATAGAGAAGTTAAATAAAATAAAAACTTCCCCCTACTCTATTAGGAAGTTAAACCCTGGTGATGTGCATTTTTAGATAACTGTCAAAACAGGGGATCTGTTACCTTTGCACGATTACATATTAATCCATATTAAATCATTTAAATCCTGCATTATTATTTTTGTCCAGAATTTACTTTGTTGCCTTGTATTAAAGAAATGATCCATTATCAAACAGAAGCTGCAAACATCAAGCTTTAAGCACACTTCTAGATGATCGGCTTCTTTTTACCACATGATTTAAAGACATTATGTTTGTGATGGTTAAGGAGATCAAGAGTCGCCTGATGCTCACGTCTGATCTAGAACATGATGGACCTCGCTTCTCCAGTCAAAGATCCGCACATCTTCAAACATGTAAGCAGTGAGTCTCCGAAAGTGAGCTAAATACCACATGAGAGCAGGTATAGAAAGTTTACAAAGCAAACAGACCCATATCCAGAAGCAGAACAACCAAAGTATTTCACCTCCGATGGATGGGTTCCTGTTGCAGCCCTCTGCAGTCATCCAGAGTTTGTAATGTAGTTTATACCACCTTTTTAACACGTTAAACTATAAGAGGATGACAGCTCAGGTGCTGGAAATGTATGGGTAGAACTATAGTTAATATCACCCCCCAACCCCCGATGGTACCACTGGCCTAACGTTATTTCTAATTTGATACCCCAAGCTTAGCAGGCTTATCTTTTGGTCTGTTCTATTTCACGGTACATCTGAAGCTCCATCAGGAGACTTTGTTGCACCTATTTTGAGATCTCTTGAGAAATCTTTAATGGGATTCAAGTCTGGACTCCGGCATAGCCATTGAGAGAGGGATTCTGAGCCACTCCTTAGAGATATTGGCTGAGTGAGGTTCAGAGTGCTCTTGAGTAGGTTTTCATCCAGGATATCTCGGGACATTACAGCATTGATCTTTTCCTCTATCCTGACCGGTCTGCCAGTAACTGCTGCTGAAAAACACTCTCCCCATAGCATGATGGTAGAAGGGCGCCATGGGGAGGGTTTGGTGAGGACACGAGGCGCAGCATTCTGGATCATTTGCAGCTGTCTGACCTGGCAGACCTGTGAAGACACCGTTGCAGTGATTGATTCTACTAAAGACAAACACATTTATAGGTTTTTTGAAGCTTCTGCTTAAACATCAGTCCTTTGACCC